TGACTTCCCACCCCAGCACCGCACGGTGAGACTGGGCTCGGGACAGCCGCCTCCAGCCACTCGGTTCCCCGTCTCTCTCCCCTCCCCTCCCTGCGCCAGGGGAAGGCTGTGCGGCCCAGGCCAGTGCTGGCACCACTCCGAGCCCTTCTGTGCCCCGAGGCTGCGGGGTTCAGTGAGGGGCTCGCTGACCTGGTTGTCAGACCCCGCAAGGCTCTCAGGGGCCACAGTGGCAGGTGAGGCCGGCAGGCTGGGGCACCGGGCTCTCGGCGCTGCCCTCCCCTGGTGTGGAGGCAATGGCCCTGGGGCCAGGCCTCCCTTCGCAGTCGGGGACCTGTGGCCTCAGTGCACCTCATCAACGGTGCTGTCCCCACATGCAAGGGGGGGCCTGAGGTCACCACGCTGTGGAGCTCAGCCCCCACCCAGCACCAGGGCCGGATGTCCGGGAAGCACTGAGAAGGGTCCTGGTGCTGGCGTCTGTGGCCCCTCCGACTTGTGGCTGAGAAGATGAACCCCCAACGTCGCCTGGAAACTGTCCCTGCTTCCCCAGCCCCGGCCATGCTGCTGGCTCACACCGGCTGTGCGTGCCGCTCTGGAAGGGAAGGTGCCGTCCGCTCCCACCCTGTCCCCCAGGCTTGCTCCGGCGGTGCCAGTCTGCCAGGGCGGTGGGGGAGACAGAAGCGGAGGCTCTGTGCCTGCCTTGCAGGGAGGGTGCGGGCTGCGTCTGACACCTCGGCTCCCCAGCGTGGAGAGCTGTGGGGCTCCGGGCCCTCGGGGATGCGGAGGCTCGAGGGAGGCGCCAGCTTGGCACAGGGGCGTTCCGCAGCACGGCGCACGCTCACTGTCTGTGCTGGCAGCGTCCCCAGCCCTCAGGCACAGGCGTCAGTCTCGGGTTGGTCTGCGGCCCCGGTGCATGGCGGTCAGTCCCTGGCACCTGGCACACAGGTGCTCAGTAAAGGCTGGCGGTGCCCGGAAGGAGGCTGAGCAGGAGTGGGGGCTTGGGGCTGGCCAGAGGCCTGGTGCCCTGGTGCTGTGTGCTGCCCGGGGCGGGCGGGTCCTTGGCTCTGCCCATCTCACTGGTGTGAACTCGCACCGTGCGAGGTACCCTGGGGACCCTCGGTGGCGTCCCCGGCATGGCTGTAGGGCTGGGGGGCTGCCCAGTGGTGGGTGCTCCTCGGGGGCCCCGGCTGTGCCCGGCCGGGCTGTGGCCACTGCTGCCGTTGTCATTTTCCTGCGTGACATTTTTGCTGATACAGTCCGCCCTGTTTGGTTGCTGTCCTTAGTCGAGGGGCATTTAAATGGCCTTCGCTCTGGCCGAGCCGTCTCCTACTGAGTCCCTAGAGGTCCCCGCGTTCACAGTCAGGACAGGCGCACAGGAACCTCGCCGGGGGGCTTCTGACCTTCCTTTTCTCACCTACTTGTCCTCCACGTGTAGGCGAGGAAAGCCGGCCCAGCTCCGGTTCTGATCTTAGGGGTCCTACCCGGTCCTAGCGGTGGGCCGTGCTTCATGCAAGCCAGGCCGAGGCAGCCCGTCCCCTCCCTGTCTGTGGTGTATTTTTATCCCAAGGAGCTGTCTGCTGGGTGATTACATGGCTTTGGTCTGTTCTCTTACTGTGGTGCATGCGTTGGTCAGCTCTGAGAGCCGACTGACCTCAAGTCCCCCGACAGCCCGAGCACGTGCCTGGTGCTTTCTCTGTGTGGCTGGCTGCCCTGGGCTCTGCTGTTTGCTGAGGGTCTGTGTATCTATACTAAGAAGAGGCCTGTGGTATTCTCCTAGCTTTGCGTTTTGGCATCAGGGAACGCTGGCCTCTTGGAATAAACCAAATGACAGCCCTGTTGTATGTTTTGGAAGTTTGTGAGAATCGGGACCCTTCTTTGAGCACTGGGTGAAATTCCCCAGTGAAGCCCTTGGGGCATCTTTGTGGCTGTTTCTTCCAGGATCAATCTGATCTCTTTTGTTCTGGTTCCATTACTATTTTCCATTCTTTTCCACCCAGGTTTAGAGATTCCTGTCCTGCTGGGAGTCTGTCCATCTCATGTCTACGCTGCCACTGTGCAGTTGCTTGTGGTCTTTCCTGCTGTCCCTCACTCTGCTTTCCGTGAGCTGGCTGGGGATTCCCGCTCTTTTGCTCCTGCTTTGGACTTTGAGTCTTCTTTCTGGCTGGCCTAAAAGGTTTCTCCATTTTGTTCATTTTTTTCAAGGAATCCGCTTTTGCTGATTTTCTGTTTTCCCTACCTCTGCAGCAGTCATTATCTCCTTCTTTCTGACTGTTCTTCTCCGGCTTCTAGTAGGGGAAGCTTGGGTCTATGGAGTTGGGGTCTTCTATCACGCGGGCCCACACGGGAATAAATCTGCTCCGAGTTCGGCAGTGGCTGCACCCCCAAGTGTCTGTTGGGTTTTATTTCTGTTCTTCTTGGAGCAGTTTCTAGCCATTCTGCTGACTTTTCCCTTTGATCCAGTGATTCTTTAGGGGTGTCTCATTTAATTTCCATTTATTCCGTGGCTGTCCCGATTTCTCTTCTGCTACTGATTTCTCACTTAACTCCACTGTGGCCAAAAAGCCACCTGTGAGATTTTGGTCCTTGTGAAGGTGCTGCGCCTCAGCCAGTTGTTGACCTGGATTGCTGTCCTGGTCTCTTTCCTCCCCGCTGGGACAAAATAGGAGAGTTTTGTTTTGGCTCATACTTCAGCCTGTAGTTGGCTGGCTGCAAGGCCCAGGGGCAAGTCAAAGGGGCTCCGCAGATGAGAGCCACTCAGCGGACTGGAGGGCGGAGCCAGGGAGGGAGGTGAACCCTTCAAGGCCCCGCCCATCACCTCCTCCATATACTTCAGCCTGTAGTTGGCTGGCTGCAAGGCCCAGGGGCAAGTCAAAGGGGCTCCGCAGATGAGAGCCACTCAGCGGACTGGAGGGCGGAGCCAGGGAGGGAGGTGAACCCTTCAAGGCCCCGCCCATCCCACCTCCTCCAGCCAGGCCCCACCCCCTCCAACAGGCCCCGCCCCTCCATCAGGCCCCGCCCCTGGCGCAATCGGTTCTATGTCCCATGGTCCAGTCACCTCGCCAAAGCCCCATTTGCGGTCTCACGAGGCTTCGGGGACATCCAGATAGAAGTCATAAGAAGAATGTCACTGGACTGGGGCAGGATGCGCTGCGACGTGTTCCTAGGCTGGAAGGCCAGCAGGCCAGAAGGGGTGGGCCGGGTGGAGGGTTGGGAGGGCCCAGCCCTCAGACCCAGGACTTTCCAGATCCAGAGGGAGTGTCTGTCCTGCCGAGGGGCGGCCGCCGTGTTTGACATGTCCTACTTTGGGAAGTTCTACCTGCTGGGGCCGGACGCCAGGAAGGCTGCTGACTGGCTCTTCTCTGCTAACGTCAGCAGACCCCCAGGTATGGGGCTGCCCCTCTTGGTTATCCAGGAGGATCCTGCCAGCTTGACCACTGCTCTGCCCGCCCGGTCCCCTGTGTCGCAGCCAGGCCCTCAGCCCTGTCTCCTGGTCCTGGGGGGCAGACACCCCACGCGGCTCCCAGATGATGATTCCGGGGCGCTGGGTTACCCTGGAATTTTAGTATCGTGCCACCCACACCGTGTTTGAGTTATTCTCTCTTGTGGTCCTCGCCCATCTAGCAATCCCCGAACTCATCCATGCGCATCTTCAATGATTCTCTGTGGCTGCTGTGTCAGTGTCACAAGCCGGGTGGATTAAAACTGCAGAGACCTTAAAAAAAAAAAAAAAACTACGGGGACCTAGCGTCTCACTGTCCCTGCAGCTGGGCCTGAGGCAGAGGTGTTGTCGCCCCTTTTTCAGGGCAGGCCACCAAACCACTGAGTTAAATCTCCGGCCCCAATGTCGCCCCTTTTTCAATGTGGTCGCATCCCCAGTCCTGGGGGGGCTTCAGCATGTCCAGTGGAAGCTCGGCCCCAGCCCACCCTGCACCACACGACCCTCTGCTCATCCTGGAGCCCTCTGGCCACCCATGCACCCTCCATTGCGCTTCCTGCCTGCCACTTCCCACGTACCTGCCCACTGTCCCCTCGCCCACCTGGACTCGCCGTACCTCTGGGCACCTCAGGGACGTGTCATAGGCCCTAGGCATGGTGAGGGTGGTGGGGTGAGGGGGAAGACAGGACGGTCACCTCCAGGGTGACTTCTGTGGGTCCCTGAGTGGGGCTCTCAGAGGGCACAGCCTGGGTGACCTGCCGGGCTCCTCCCGACCGAGGAGCTGCCTGCCGAGCCCTTCGGCCCACCCCCGCCACCTCTGTCCCCAGGCTCCACAGTGTACACCTGCATGCTGAACCGCAGGGGCGGCACAGAGAGTGACCTGACGGTCAGCCGCCTGGCCCCGGGGACCCAGGGCTCTGTGGTGGCCCCCGCCTTCGAAGGTGAGGGATGGAGGGGTGCAAGCCCCACCCAGGCCGTGAGCGGCACCGCTGCTGCTTCTGAGCAGTCCCGACACTGGCCTCCTGACACTGACATCTGTGCTGAGCTGCTTTCTTGGTCTGCGCAGCTTCCAGTCGCAGGCCTGGCAGCCTCCGATGTTCAGCTCAGTCAGTGTCCATGCTGGCGCCCGAGCAGCCCCCTTCACCACTCTCCCACTTGCATGCCCCCAGTGACGGGCGACTCAGCACCTTATGTCCTGTCTGCTTGTCACCTCTGCCTGGGCTCCCATCCCAAAGGGCATCCCCACCAGGAGAGGGGCGGAGCCCGGGGTCCTCCCCTCCAGGAAGGGCCAAGCCACTCCAAGAGGCTCGGCGTGCTGCTGTCTGGGAGGGTGGGGCTCAGTCCTTGGGCCTCTGCTTGTGCCCCTGGGGCTGTTCCTGCAGCTGCTGTGCCTGAGACATCGGGACCCAGGACCATGTGGCCTTTGCATTCTGGTGGGAAGAGGCAGGGTTTGCAGAGTGCAGTAAGCACCAGCTGTGTCCAGAGGAGGAAGGCAGGGCTGGAGACCAGGCCACCATGGGCTGATGGGACCCAAGGCCTCCAGGGTACGAGGAGACCCCTGTGGCTCTGTGGAGCCCAAGTTGAGTCACAGAAGCCTTTCTGCCTCTGCCTCTCCTTACTCACCCATAGAGATCTACCAGATAGCAGCGGGGGCCCAAGGGACCCAGACCACAGCGGCGCCCTCTGGCCCCCATCCTGAGCTCCTGTTCTGGTGGGCTCCTCTTTCAGGGGATGGCTACTACCTGGCTGTGAGCGGGGCCGTGGCCCAGCACAACTGGTGCCACATCTCCACGGTGCTGCAGGACCAGCGGTTCCGGTGCCAGCTCGTGGACTGCTCCGAGGACCTGGGCCTGATCAGCATCCAGGGCCCGGCCAGGTGAGGGGGTGGAGCCCCTGCCAGGTGCCCTGGGCACATGGTCCAGAGATGTCCCTCTGGGAGGGTGCAGAGAGGGGACGCTGTGCTGGGGAGAAGCTGGGGTCCCCGGAAGCGGGGTGCTGCGAGCCTGGGGCTGCTTGGTGTGCCTGGGGCGAGCATGGCTCTGAGAGACAGCTGGCTGTGTGTGTCCTGAGGCAGGGCCAGGGTGGGCCACAGGTGCTGTTGTCTGCATCCTGAGGAGGGGAGAGGGCTGCAGCCCAGTACATGGAACAGCGACCCAGTCCCAGTGCCTCCTGCAGCGATGCCCACCCTTTGGGGTGGTTTTCTTTCCCCTGGGGCCCAGTGTCTGGCCTGCCAGGGTAGAGGGGGACCTGGCTGTGCCTGAGGCCTCTGCTTGCATTGCCAGTGACCTCGGATGGGGAGCGGCTGCTTCAGCCCAGAGGAGGCCGGTGGGGAGGCCCAGCCTGCAACCTCATTAGAGGCTCCCCAGGCTTTGGTGCGGGCAGAAGGGAGCCCTCCCTGCCCGAAAGTTTTTAGCTGTCTCCTCCACAGCATCCTCTTTAGAGAAGCCCAGGTTTCCTAGGTGAACATGATGTCATGGCCGGGGGAGCTCTTAGAGAGGCTGCTGGGCCGGGGTGGGTGGGTCCGGAAACTGCAGTCTGGCTGAGCATTCGGAAACCGCCACTCTGAGACAGCCACAGAGTGGGCTGAAATTTTAATCTGAATGAACTTGCCTCCCAAGGCCCCACAGGGCACCTCAAGGAGCAAGGCAGAGGGAATGGCCATGCAGATGCAGGCCGGCCCTTCTGGGGGATCCCTGTGGAGCCCTCACTCTGGGGGACCCTGCTGTCCCATCTAGTGGACAGGCTGTGTCTAGCAGGTTCCTGCACAGGGCACAGAACGCCTGGCCCTGGGCCCCAGGAGCAACTCTGCTCCTCACTCTCTACAGCCCCCACAGGGCCCCACAGGCAGCTGAGACAGAGGTGCCACCACGTGGGTGCCGGGTTACATAAGGACCCTGGCAGGCAGCGCCGGAGCTCAGCCTCGAGCCTCAGGCAGGCGTGGGTGGCGGCTTGGGCTCCACAGCTGGGGGTTGGGGTCAGAAGCAATTTCCCAAACCACACAGAGCCACACGGCCCGGCCCAGCTGGGATGCCTGAGGGACAGGAGTGGGGGCCTGGCTCAACTGGGGGCCCCCCCCGCTGTGCTGTGGCTGAAGTGCCCTCTCAGTGCTGTGTGGCCTAGGACTCGGGGTTCTGTGGGTCCTCTCGGGGCCCCTGGTTTAGTGGGGGGTGGGTACAGCCTGAGGGGGAGATGTTGGCAGGAGAGCCCGTGTCCCTGGGCAAGGGGGTACCTGGTCCAGGCAGGGAGCCAGGCGGCACTTGGGGGGAGAGATGGTCAAGCCACAAGCTGAGGGGACAGGTGCTCGTGGTACAGCCTGAGGGGGAGATGTTGGCAGGAGAGCCCGTGTCCCTGGGCAAGGGGGTACCTGGTCCAGGCAGGGAGCCAGGCGGCACTTGGGGGGAGAGATGGTCAAGCCACAAGCTGAGGGGTCACAGGTCATAGGGGGAGGGGGCTGCAGGGGCGGGGCCGTGAGGGGACCCCAGGAGCTCACAGCCAGAAGGTGGGTCCTGCAGGTAGGTGCCTCTCCGGCTACAGTTCAGGATGGAGGGGGACCAGGCAGGCTCAGGGTCTCAGCAGGTGAGCTGTGGGTGCGGCCTCTGTCCTCTGACAGAAGAGTGAGGGGCTCTGGGCATGAGCTGGGGGCTGCTCAGGGTTTTGCCTCCCCTCAGACCCGCTGCCCACGGCTCACAGGGTGTTGTCTCACCAGAGCCTCCGGGCGGAGCAGCATGACGTCCTGCTAGAGTGTGGCCAGGACCAGGCCACCACAACGAGCTGGTCCTGAGACCAGCTCTGGGACTGGTGGTCGTGGACAACTGGCCCGTCTCCCATCCCAGCTGGGGCGCGGAGCAGAGCTCGGCCTCAGCCTGGCTGCCCGGGTTCTGGGGCCTGGCGTGAGTCCTGGGCAGGTTGGTTTTGCACCTGCTGCATCTGGGGCCCGGGCTGCTCATGGTGTCTTCATGAATACCTTGACCGTGGTCCCCCAGGATAGGCCTTGTCCCGCTCACTGCTGCCCCAGGCCTTCCAGCTCCCCGGGAGCGCTGAGTGGTGGGGGTGCTGGCGGCTGGCTAACTGCCCCCTCGTCCCTCTCGCAGCCGGGCCATCTTGCAGGAGGTGCTGGATGCAGACCTGAGCAACGCTGCCTTCCCCTTCTCCACCCACCGACTGGTGCGGGCCGCCGGGCACCTGGTAGGTACCAGAGGCCCTGTCCTCCGCTGTGGGTGGGAGCAGCGGGGGGCTTGCTCCCCAATTGGGACTCTGGGATCCGGGGACTGGGCAGCCCCGCCCAGGGCTGCCAGGCTGTCAGGAGCTCAGGCGGAATCTCAGCATTGTCCGACCTCTGCCTGGTACCTGACGTGTCTGGGCTCTGCCCAGGGGCCCTTGCTGCCTGCCGCCCTGCCGCTTTTGCACGCCTGCTCCTCCCGGAAGGCACAGGCTGTGTCCTCCTGAACCAGGCACTGTTACCTCCCAGGCCTCCCTGGAAGTAAAGGTCTCCAAGGGGAGCACCACGGCGTGGTCAGGCCCAGCTCTGGGGCAGGGGCTTCCTCCGGGACCCCGACTCTGGCCAACTCCTCTCACTTCCAGCCTCAGTTTCCTCACTGGGAAGTAAGCACCTCGGTTTCCTGCTTTGGCTTCTGTGGCAGAGGCAGGAGCTGGCCAATCCCTGATCATCAGCAAGGGCCCGAATCCGCCCTGCTTCGCCTGCCTGTGTGCTGCAGCCTGGCCTTGTGCCTGGGGAAGTAACCCTGGAGGCCACTCTGGGTGGGGCCATCTGGGCATCTCAGGGGCCTGGAATCCACTTTGGCCTCTGCCCAAGATGGTGACAGCACCCCTGAATGTAATAGTGACAGTGTAGGCAGACAGGGAGGGGGGCCTCGCTCTGTGACCCCAGCTGCAGAGCCCCCTGCCAAGACTTAGGCCAGGGGACTCTGCCCAGGCTGAGCTCGGTGGACAGGGGGTGCCCAGGCCACCCGCTAATGAAGCCTAAAACACCAGTCCCCTGCCAGTAACACTGGTGGGCCTTGTGGGGGCGCAGGACCTTGTCGTCTCCTGTTTTTACTTTCTGTACACTCATCCTGGGGTTACTGGGCCAGACGCTGGCCTGCAGGGCCTGCGGGTCCTGGGGACTGTCTGGGTCCTAACAGGAAATAAACTCTGGCTGTGGCTGCAAGGCGGGTGAGCTGCCAGAGTGGGGACTAGGGGAGCCCTCCATGGTGGCTCTAACCCCGTTAGGTCTCCCTTGCTTCCTGCGGGACCAGAGAGGGTGGTGTTCTGAGAGGGCTGCCCAGCACACCCCCAGGCCACGGCAGCAGCCAGCCCAGGGTGTGTGTGCTCCTGCAGCAGCCAGCTCTGTCCCACCGGTTCTAATCTGTGAAGGGGAGGGGAGCCCGGGGCGGGCTCAGCCTGTGTGTGGCTTGGTGTGTGAGGCAGAGGACCAGGTGGGAACACAGCCCTCCCGCCAAAGCTCAGGCCTCTGGGACCGGCGGCTCCAGCTGCCTCC